TACGAGACAGAGGCAACAGAATAAACGAACAGATCATTGTAAAGTTTTATATCAATAATGATCTGAAACTTTTTATTTGTATGTTCTTCAATTTTATTTCACATAAATTTAGTATTTAAAACTATACAAAATGTACTGAAGAAAGTTGTTTCTTATATGACAAAACAACTCAAGTCATCTAGTAAAACATCTGAGGAAAAAATGTGTTCAAGTTTCAGACAAACTACGTTCCCAACTACAGATGTGAAGGAAATCTAAGACAAGGAAATCAATTTGTCAAGTTTGATTGGAAATTTCTATCAAGTGATCCAGATATTTTTCACAAGTTCTTTACTTCAAAGAGGTATCTAATGAAAAATACTCGAATTTGATCTCGACAACATAATGCCTATAGGGAATATTTACCTTCATTCTTGCTCCGATATCCTTGTTCCGACAAGTACAATGTAAGGAAGTTTTAACCCACTAGTCCAAAGATTTAATTTTTGGATAATTAATTCTTTCGAATCGATCGGGACATTTTTAGTTTGAGAAGCATTAAACTTAAAGGGTGAGAAAATAATGGATTTGAAATTAACACGTGTTTAAAATCTGCAGGTGAGGAATTAATATTCAAATTCAAAATAGACCACAAAAAATACTACTACTTGAAATAATCACTTGCTGTTTGAGGAAATAGTATCATAATAAAACACTCAAAACTATCATTTTTATATGTTGACTAGTGATAGATAGATGATAAATACTGTACTTACTGTCAGTAAAGGTTCAGTTTACAGCATTGTTCTGGTGATAATGGGAAGATCTTAGTACTGAGTGAATGGAAACGTAAAGATTTCGAGCTCGAGTAAGCTTGTGATCTTGATTCATGTTGCAAAAGTTTAATGTTTTAAAAGAATTCACTGATGTGATATTGCCATTGCCATATTAGTACTTTAATTTCTGCGAAATAGGATTAACCCAATTAATTTATGATTGGGCTTAATTTTTAAACAGTCAGTTGTGCAATGGCCAATTTGATGATAGATAATTAACTAATAATTAATTCGGCAAAAGAAACAAATAATTTGTCGTTTCCTTTGGTGGAGGTCTAGATAAACATTATCTAAATCATTTTTCGGAAGAATTAGATTTTTCTTATAGGGTATATAATTTTGTTTCACAATGCATCGAAGAAACGAAAGAAAAAATGTGCAAGTAAACATCTAACTAAATCGTTGTTTTTGCCAACTACTCTAACACACTTACGAAACAAGGATCTGGAATTTTATCAACAATTCTGGCTTATTCTGGCTGCAACTAAGCTAAATCCAAATTGGAGCGGCATAGTAAATGAATAATTGCATCAAGCGGACACCAGCTTAGCCCTGATTTAGAAAACATTGCTGATGATTAACAGAGTAATCCATTGAAAATACCATGTGTCCAAAAGGGAGAAAACTTAGAATCAAACGAAAAAAGCGCAAGAGAATTAAAAATATAAAAACAGCACTACTAAATGATTTAGTTTCATGCATGTAAATGAAGAATAAAAATACAATTTCATAACCACAGGCTTAACAGGGAAAGGTTGCTGATGCTTCACAGAATCGTGCTTTAAATATTCTCTATTCAAGAAAAAATTTGCAAATAAAAGTAGCTAAGATGAAAACGGAATGCCTTCTGGAAAATAATTGAAAACAAGAAAGCCGCACAGGAAAATAGTATAGTTGTATGGTATAAATGAACAACATAATTGCATAACAACAAGGAAAAAATCCATAAACACTGTCCAAACAAGGCAAGGAAGAAATAAAAAACAAATATCTAAGCTGCAAGTTTTTAAATCGGCAAAAATAATGATTGATCAAGAAATTGTCACACATATAGAAGAAACCTTAATTATTAATGGTTCGATTAGCAGCATTATTTGAACAGTTCTAAAGGGTACTGAATAGTTGCGTGTATAAAGGTTAATGCGAATGGTCGAAATAGGTTTTTAACAAATTCTGTCACTCAAAAAAGGGGATTGCATGACAACATCTGCTGAATTATTTATCTCCCTAAGATAATAGGAAAATCCTTGTTTATAAATCAGGTTATTTATCAGTTTGTCAAATGGTCAGTTTAGTTCGGTTTATTAAGAACCGCAATCAGCAAATCTGAATCGAGTGTCAGTTACTTAGCATTATTTTTTAAGTCTATTAGGTATGATTAATGCAAAACAATCTAGAATATTGTGTCTAGCCCTAGCCTATATTTAGAATATAAATTATGGAATTTTATTATTTTTTTCAATTCGAAACTGATGGACAAACATAACCAGATGAGCTGACTTTTAGCACTTTTAATAACAATTTTTAAATAAACTGTGTAATTAGGCGTAAATCATTCGGCCATTAAAAATAAAAGTTGATCAGTACAGAACAAAATGACGAGTGGCGAGGTTACAAACCTCAAATATGTAGTCTAAATCGAACTGCGTAAAATGAAAACATGCTAGTTTCACATGCACATTCCTGGGCAGTTCCCGATAAGTATGCTAAACACCAACTAAAAATGTTATTTTTGTATACCAGAATTAATATATTTAACACGTTTTCCAATATGTTAACAAGACAATAACAATAATGGAACTTTTATAATTAATTTTTATATCAATCTCTTTACATGCAACATTTTCTGATTATAGGTGAAACCTGTTTTGCTTTTTTGTGGGATTGGGAGCAAATTGTCCAGCTGCAATCAGGAAATTAATAAATGGATTTACATGGTTCGAGTTTTGAACTATTTTGAGGGGTTTCTGATTTGAAAGTTTTTTGCCTTAAAGAACTCGTTAAATAACTCGAAAAGAGACGACAAAGTTAGCAGCTTGACTAAAGTTCTTAGAAACATTTAAGCATATCTACTGAACACATGTTGTCTTTTAACGGTCTTTTCTCACTTTTGTTGTTCACATTCAGTTGATTAAAATATGGCTATTCAACTTATAACATTTCCACTACTTACTTATATACTATTTAGATACTTATTAACAGATTAAATAGGAACAAATAGTTGCTTGAAACATTCAGTCAAGGTAATTTTTAGGCGGAGATTATTGGTTTTATTGCGTATTTAGACATTTGAAATTTGGAAAAGTTTATGGCAACTTTCTTATTTCTCCAAGTTAGTTGGTTCAAGCTGAGTTGGTTCAAATTCAATTATATTTTTATATAAAACTAATATCTTTTTTACACAATGAAAATATGTTTTGTTCATCTTTTTTGTACTATTTGCATATCCCTTTGACCGTTATAATCAAAAAATAAAAATTTGGAACCTGATAACTTCTGATTGCTTTAACCGATTTTGTTTTGGATTGAAGCGTTATCTAGTCCGATTCATTTTCTGTTGATCGGCGCTTTGCAGAAATTGACTTTTTCAGTCAAAGTTTCTACAGGGTGGATACTGAAACATGCAGTATTTCTGAAAGTGTTCCATGCTCTCAGTTGAACAAAAAATCAAAAGCATAAAGAACAGTTCTTATATTTCGAAACGGTTTGTGAATGTTTTACCTGTGTCGTTTATTTACATGGTAATCTAAAAAACACACTGTTTGGTCTTGCACTGAAATAATTTTGATTTTTGGAGCGATTTTCTAAATCTAGAGCTCATGTTGAAACCGATACTTCATAGTCGAGTTAAAACAAAAATTCGATATACACGGCGGCATGGATTGTTTAAAATCAAGTTCACTCTAATTGAAAGTCTGTTGAAATCCCTGATTTCTGCGGAATTTGTGATGTGGGTAACTTTTAATTATTAAGTTTGAGCTTCAACATGCGCTTTAGATGATTAAAATTGGTATAGCAGGAAAAACGTTATCAGTGCAAGACCACAAAGTGTTTAGAGCCTCCCTGTGATTAAACTGACAGACGAAAGTTTCAAAACCATTTAGTCAAAATATCTTGAGATCTGGGGTGTTGAAAAACGAATTTTTGTTCAATTGGGAAAATGGCGAACTTTGAGAAATATTTAATTCCGTGGTTGTCCACCCTGTAGAAACTCCACCTGAAATACTAAATGCTCGCATACACACACACATGACACGTTCACAAAAGAACTGGACTAGATAAAGCTTCAAACAGCAATGATTTAGCTGGCAGGAATCAGAAGTTATGCAGTTCCAAACTCCAGTTGATGTTTGTGCACTTTATTACACGTTATGTTCCATTTTTTCTCTGAGCTAGTGTTGCTTCACTCAACTAATATACATAATTTTTTTAATGAATTATATTTTAATATTTTAGATAAAAATTTTGCCAGTTAGTGAGTTTACTAGTACTGTTAGGACAGTAAGTAAACTTTCTGAACCAAAATACGTTTTTTTGTTTCAGTAGCTTCCAAGCTACCTAATATCTGACAGAATTTGGTAATTTTACTTCGCTCGGTAGCAGCTATTTCAACTATCTACATTCTTCTCTAATGTTTCATTAATGTGTTCATTAAAAAAAATAAAAACAAGACGTAACTAGGATTTTGTTGTGCATTCGAGAAATTCTCTTTTGCAGCTTAGGCTTCGGAAATGCTTCAATCCTAGGCATTACAAAGCGTTTTTAGTCGAAATTTCACCTGACAAACAAAATATTCCGAATTATTTTCTCAAACCCTCCAGACTATTTTGTTCATTACAGTAGGTAGCTTTATTAGTTCCAGATTAAACCTGTTGAAACTTATTCCAATAAAATATAGAAGACAATTTTAAATACACAGATAATACAGACTATTTTACTTTAAATTATTTTGTTTTAAATTCTGTATACATCTACTAAAAAAGTTCGACTGTCTCGAACCAATGGCAATAATCTGCACACACGAACAATTTGCTTATCCAGACTGTATGAAGCACCCCAGGGAGTGTCACTTGGGGAACATTTTCTAGCATCAATATGTAAACATTCATCCTACTAAAGCGCACGGTGTATTTTTGCCTTTCCTATAATGAACCGAGATAAAACAAAGTGTAAATAAAATAAATGCGGCCTTGGTTAGGTAGCGCGGTTCAGTATTTTCTTTCCTGCTGGCATGGTCGCGTGTATACCGAACAGTTCATGGCGTATTTTGATTTGGTGTAGTTAACGCGAAGGCGCTATAAAGTTTATTTTTAGGGCTATTTTGCACATTTTTAATTGGTTTATTAGTTTGGTGCGTGACCTAAAGGCCGCTACCTTTACGTGCTTCAAGGGTTGATTTATTTTGCTTGCTAAACTGCAAAATTGCGTCTTGGACAATAGTTCGGTATTCCTGCAAACTTAACATCCAAGTTGATAAAACACCTACTTCTCACTGTAAGTGTATGATTTAGGTTTAGTTGCAGGTTATATAAGGAAATATGTAATATCCAGCGGGTACGGAAACCTGAAACGCTAGACACTCGGTTGTGCGCAATTATAAATAAATAAAAATCAGCTGGTTGCATGGTTCATTGTCATTGTTGAATCGCATATGTTGCTTTACACTGAAGCAGTAATTTGCTACAGTTTTTTGATAAAATGGCACTTACTTTAAGATCGATTTTTAAAGGAAAAATTATGCGCTTTTGGCACGGGTTTGCCTCAATTGTTCACTGCAATTATGTTGAACAAAGGTATTACTCTTACAAAGGGCGCCCAATGACCGTTTTGCATGTTTACAACAACGTTGTTTTAGAATTCCGCTTTCTACATCTAAACTTTGCATGAATCTGATAAAGTTTATGCATAAGAGTTCAACAGTTTCCTTTTGACCTCATTAGCAGGTTTCCACTCGCGACTCCATTTAAAAGAAGTGTGATTCAATATTAGATAATTTAATAAAGGAACTTTTCATGATTTGAGGTGATTAACACTCGCAAGTAAGCGTCGGAACATTTAAATTGCAAAAGGGCTGTTTGAAGGCGAAGCAGGAGATTTTAAATTTACGATGTGCTTTCTTTTATAATCACTGAAGGAAGTAAAACTCAATTGGTTTAAGCGGGCGATTTTTAGCTTTTAGTTGATATCACTTTAACTACATTTTAGTTATTATAAGTTTTTGTTTAATTTTTTTCACAAAACAGGGATTTTACTAAACCCGTAGTTAGTGCCCTCAAACTGATTTGAAACGTTTAATTTTAAAATAATTTTTTGTTAAAGTCTTTAAAAAGCCTAGAGATAAAAAAAACTTAAACTATCATCTAAAGTCACTATTCCGTTCTGATAAAAATAAAATGGTTTGTTCTCATGGAAAAGCTACAACTGACGGAGGTTTGGTAAGCCCCAAATGTTTGATTGGTTTCTACTCTATGTATATACTCTATTCTAAATGTTTAATGTATAAAAAATAATAATACCAAACTGAGGGACAAAGGAAGAAGATTTTTCCAGTTACTATCACTGACGCAATGTTTCCGATCAAAACTAAATCACCCTGAATCTTAATTCTAAAACCTTTAATATTTTTTAAAAAATCACCCAATTGGCATTTTGGGTCAAGAGACTTCTCAAGTTGGTGATCATTTCTACTTGTATCGTGCTTCAGCTTGGACGATGCGAATTTTTACAGAGGTGCAGTTGAGCAGAAATATTCTAAACATCCGTCTTATATTTTATTATTGACTTATTTTGAATCAAAATTTACTAAGCTGGAAGCAATAAGTTGTGGGCTACTTTAATGATAAATAAATCTATTTGCTTTTAGCTTTAGTTTGAAGATGCAAATTTGAAATGGGGAGAGCGCAGTTAGTAAAACATTTATTATGATACCGATTCTCACTAATTTTAAACTAAATTCAACAAGCTCGAAGAAATCAGGATTTACGAGGATGTTTCCGAAAGTTACGAAACTTTCACAATATTTAGAGTCTAATTGCTTCTATAAATAGTATAAATTTTGATTTGCATTGGATTTTAGTTTGGAAGATGCGAATTTTTATAGAAGGGAACGCAGTTGAGTAAAAACATCACGATACGAAAATTTACTAGCTTATAGACTAAAATTTACCCAACTGGGAAAAAATCAGGATTCTGGGATATTTTTGTGAAACTTTTAGAATCTTTAGAGTCAAGTGGCCTCAACACATAGTGAAAATATCTGTTTAGTATCCACTAGGTTTAGTTTGGCGAATTTTTAACAAGAGAGCGCAGTTAGTATTTAACATCTCATAAGAGACCGATTTTTATTAATTTTAAACCCAGATGCACCAAGCTGGAAAAGTTCAGCTATTTCGGAAATTTTATTGAAACCATATTTAAAGTCTAATATTATCTATCTTTGACGTAAATTTCTAGTTGCTACTGCTTTAGTTTCAAAGGTGCAAATTTTTAAAAAAGGAAACTCAATTTATTTAAATAATTAATTTTGATACCGTTATTTAGTAAGCTGGCAAAAATCAGAATTACCTACAATTTTTATACAATTTTTATCATCAGTAGAACCAAGGACGTCTAAAGATGTTGAGCATTTCAAATTGCAACTTTCCTTAGTTTGAAAGATCTAAATTTTAAAATGATGGAGCGCAGTTGGGCAAAAACATTCATTTTGAGAGTGTTATTCACTAAGCTGGTAAAAATCGGGATTACAGACTACTCTTATGGAATTTTCTGCATCCCATAAGGCCACGTATTTTCTAATTTCCCATAAGGTGGTGAAAAATTCACATTGCTGCTTGTTTTACTTCGAAATGTGTGAATTTTTAAAGGAAAGAGCGCAGAACCTGTTATGAAACGATTTTTCACTAATTTTGAGGCCCACATATACTAAGCTGGGAAAAAATCATGCTATTGGGCGAGTTTTATGAAACTTTCCGGGTCTTTAGAGAGAAGTATCTTCTGAATATTGCGAAATTTCAAATAGCTACTTGCTTCCATTTGGAAGTTGAAAATTTTTAACGAAGAGTCGAAATTTTCAGCCAACGTTTTCCGACTAGTTTTTATTTAATTAATTCAAATTTTAATTCAGTTAATCCAGAACTCAAAAAAACATAATTAACGAAAAAATGTGCGTTTTTTGAAAACATCTTAGCGGCCTTAACTGTTCTCGCTTAGTTCTCAAGAGATACAGCTAAATAAATTCGAGCTGTAAAGCAAATTAGCAACTTCTAAGTGGATAGCTTTTAAATACGGAAGTATAGCTTAATATTTGGGTAAATGGCAGTATAAATTATATGCCATTTAGGAATACTTAATTATGATAAGTTAATTCGAAAACTCCAGCTTGAACATGAAAATAGCTGTTAATGCTTAACTTTTAAAGTAAGTCGTCTGTTTTTACTGCTTTTGCTCAAAGCTAGAATTTTTGAAATCCAGTATTGCATAAATAATAAAATTACAGTTGAATTATGGGAATATCTGAAGAATTAGATTGATTAGAAACATGGACAATTTTTCCGATTTTCGATGAGAAAGTTTGATAGACATTCGAACACAATCACTCAAAATTGGAAGCACAAGTGGCTTCAGATTTCTTGGGAATAAAATCTTTTCACGACGACCCAAAAGCCCTAAAAGCTCACCAGTTTCTTTCTCTAAAAGATGTTTTCTGAAAATAAAAAATCCGCAAAATGCAATTTCATTAAAATATTAATGCAGGCAAAATCAATCCTTACTGGCGTCATGTACTTATTTTTTTTATTGATAAATTAAACATCAAAATCATATTTGCGGGTGCTTGAATAATTATCTCCTTAATCCATTTAACACTTTTTCGACGTGGTTCGTTCAACTCAATTAAAACAGTCTTCGGCAAAGCAATTTAGGTAGCGAATCATTGAACTCCCAACTGGTGCCATTGAGTACCATGTGGACGTTTTGGCATAAATGGAAGTGGTTTGAGAACGTGCTGTCTACATTTCAATTATCGTCTGTGTTTTGTTTACATTTAGAACGAGCTTACAAACAAACAACGCCTCTGAATGTATGCTGAAACTGATTTGATTTTACAATCCGAAATAGTTTATCATCACTTATGGTTTAAACATGATAAAATCCCGAACAATTTAAACCTCCATTGAATTAATGACTTCCGAATTTTCGACCGAAATTTAGGTCATTAACATTCGTCAAATTATGAGTCAAGTGTACGAGAACATCAACCTTTCAAGCCCGTTATTTTTAGTCAAATTATAGTGTAAATAAATACTGGATGGGATGTATTTCATTTTCTATCAAGTAACTGTAAAGAGGTTGAGTAAAGAATTGCGCAATTTAAATTGCCAATGTTGAATAAAGAGAATGACTTAGATTGAACTATGCTCTCGACATGAATAAACGATTATTCAATAAACCAAAGTACTTGATCTAAATATTATCGTTCGAAGGAGAAAGTTGCAATTGATCAAAAATTTCCGGACAAAATATCACACTTTTGCTTCGTGTGCTGTGGAAACAGCGGGGATCTGCTGTTAAGCTTTGAAGATTATAAACTTAGATCCACGTTTAAACAAACCCATCCCATTAATCGCCTTATCTAATATTAGAAGGAGTTTACCCAATGTATGTGCGATTTAAATGCAGTTTTGACCTTCGGTTTGTCTAGTAACTAACCGGACTTATCATAGATTACTTGAGTAGAGTGGCAACCTATCTCAAACTGTTTATTTGTTCGCCTCGAAATTTGTGGGCTTATAGTAAATGTAACGTTGCACTAAATTCAGTCGCTATTAAATTACTCGAATCATGTTATATAAATTCTCAGTCTTGATTAAATTCAGCTATCCAAAAGGGTTCATGATGATTTAAAAGCTTTGGGAACAATGAGTAAGAATAATTTTGCGATAAAGTGAAAAACTACCCGTAGTCGAACTTAAATAGGCAAACTTTTTAAACATTATTTTGGCTTTTGATCAAATGAACTTAATGGCTACGTTATAACGCTCTTCTGTTCACGGATTCAAAGGTCTTTTCAAAATAAAATTGCTGCATGATGTTTACAGTTATTTAAATTATTAAATTTAAATTAAAAAAATTAAGATATTAAATTTCAAACTCTACTTATCCATTATATGTCTTCTAATGTATCGTTCCAACTCACCGCTCGCCTATGCAAGACAGAGAATAAAAATATTGAACTTGACGCTCAATACGCCAACATTTGCAAAATGGCCAAAAACCAAATTAAGTGCGATTTGAATGAATCTCAAACAGTTTTAAGCTTCAAGTTTCTTCCATGTACTGCGAAAAAAACAAGTTGCTGTTGGCTCTGGATTAGTAATTAGGATGTTTAAAGGAGAGAATGCAATTGGGATAAATCACTCATTTTTACGCCGACATTTACAAAGCGCGGTTTGAATGAAGCTTTAAAATAATGCCAATTCAAGTTTCTTCGTTGCCGT